CATTCAAAGCTGCTGCATGGCACAAAGTCAATGTATGGTCAGTATATAGAGATTGCCTTTGTACATTAGCGTAATCTCTGTCTCCAAGAAGTTTGTTTTGGGAGATTTCCATACCTCTAGCCCTACTTCACTGTCCAATGGTCTTAGTCTCCATCTTTCCACCAGGTCCTCCATTGTAAATGAGACCCAGGCTGCAAAGACTGCTGTAACCAAACTTCCCCAGTCTTGAGGGATAGTTCTTTTATACATTGACCATGAGTTTAACATCTGCTTCACAAAGGGTGAATGAATACCATATGAAACTATCACTTCCTTGAATCTCCTTAAATGTAACATTTCCACAGGAGTCCATTCAGCTCTTTCACAAACTTAGAGATATATATTATTTGGCAGTTGTTCCTATAAGGCTACCGAATAAATTAAAGTTAGCTGTTTGAAAACCTTAGGCTGTTCCTTCTAACCTTAAAGTGCAATGCTGAGATTGGTTCCCTGTAGTGGTATTTTACTTGTATTTTAATAAATAAAACTTGCCTGAAGATCAGAGAGTAAAACAGACCCACTGGTCAGCTTTACAGAGCAGGCAGTGGTAACACACACCTTTAATCCCAGTAGCCACACTAGTTGCCACAGAAATGGTACCTGCATTTTTTCCCAGCCCTAGAGAGGATTATAAAATGGGAGGAGACAGCTCTTTTTCACAGTCTCATTCTGAGATTCTTGGAGGCAGGATCGCCATTTCCTACTGAGGTGGAGTAGGGCCTACCTACTGCAGGTCCTACTGCTGACTGCTTTGCTTTTTGGATCTTCAGGTTGAACCCCAATTTCTCTTAGCTTCTATTAATCATGCTTCAGTTAAAGAATTAAATTCCTCTATCTGGATCTGAATATATCTAAGATCTGCTTTAATAAGTTAGAAAAAAGGCCTGTGTGTTGGCACTCATATCAACCAATATTTTATTTTTTCTTTTTTTAATTGAGCTCTACATTTTTCTCTGCTCCCCTCCCTGCCTCTTCCCTCCCCACTTCATCCTCCCCCAAGGTCCCCATACTCACAATTTACTCAGGAGATCTTGTTTTTTTCTACTTCCCATGTAGATTAGATCTATGTAAGTCTCTCTCAGTGTTTCGTAAAAAACAAAACAGCCCAAACAAGCAAACAAAATGATATAGGGATAGTGGTACATGCCTTTAATTCCAGCACTCAGGAGACAGAGACAAATGGATCTCTTGTGAGTTTGATGCCAGCCTACTCACAAAATGAGTTAAAGACAGTCAAGATGACACAGAGAAACCATGTCTCAAACAAGCAGAGAAAAATATACACAAATAAGGAAAATGTTGTGTCCACTGCTCAGCAGGTGGGTGACAACATTCTGAAACTGGGGTTATGGCTTAATCCTCAATATGGGAAGAAAGAAGGAAAGGAGAAAAGGAGGACAGAGAAATGGCTCAGTAGTCAGGCATTCTTGACACTCTTTGGAGGGACCAGAGTTTGATTCCTAGAATCTACATGCAGTTCACAATCATCTGTGACTCCAATTCCAGGGGATCTGACCCCTCTCGTCTGGCCTCCTCAGGTACCAGGCATGCACGTCGTCCACATACATATATGCAGGCACAGCATCGATGCACATAAAATAAACAAAACTTTTAAAAAGTATATAAAAGAATGAGCAAAGAAAATGTAACATGAAACAAAAGCAGAAGAGTATTCACAGCCGGGTGATGGTGGCACATGCCTTTAATCCCATCACTTGGCAGGCAGAGGCAGGCGAATCTCTGTGAGTTCCAGGCCAGCCTTGTCTACAGGGCAAGCTCCAGAGTAGCCAAGGCTACACAGAAAAACCCTGTCTGGTGCTGGGGTAGGAGGAACAAAAGAAAGCCATTTCTTTGTAAACTAATTTTAAAAAGTCAGTCTTAAAGTAGAGCAACCCGGCCGGGAGTGTCTAAGGCAGAGCTAGCATGGACAGCCACCAGAAGTCATCTCTGTCCATGTCTTGGGATCCGCTCAGTTCAGAAAATGTGAACTACGTTAAGTACCTGTCACGTGGTACTTAATGCCCTAGCTGACCTCTTAGCGTTTCTTCCAGTGTGGCTGTGCAAGACGTACAAAGGGAGCTGGAGGCCCGGAACACCACTAGGGAATACCAGTTAAAGGCTTCGTCACCTTTGTCACCCTCTGTCATCAACAACTGGACCCTGTTGTTGACCATTTAGATGGTTTTCAGGTCTTACTATGAAAAATTAGGTCAGGTCGGGCAGAAGACATGGCTCAGTTGTGGTTAAGGGCACTGGCTGCTCGTGCAGAGGACTTGAGTTTAATTCCCAGCTTGCACATGGTGGCTCGCAACCACCTGTAACTCCAGTTCTAGGGGAGCCAATACCCTCTGACTTCCATGGGCATGTGGTTCATATTTGCAGGCATTCATACACATAAAGTGATAAAGAAACAAAAACTAGGTCAGGTGTAGTGGTCAACACATGTAACCTCAGCTATTTCCTGCTGAGGAAGGGACAATCAAGGTGGCTCAAGGGAGGTCAAGGTAGGTGGGTAAGATGGCTGAGCAGTTAAAGGTACTTGTTGCCTAGCCTAAAGCCCTGAGTCCCACAGGATGGAAGAAGAGACCTGACTTCTGCACATCGTCCTCTAAACCTCACGGGTGCCACTTGCATGTTCCCAAGTTCAATTACAGGAGTGCATCACCAAGCCCAGCTCCCAGGAAGACTTTTTCATTTTGTTTATCTGGTCCTGGAAACTGGACCCAGGGTCTTGGCCTTAGCTAAGCAAGTGATTTCTTATCCTACCCAAGCTACAGCCTCGGTGCCCTGAAAACACCCGAGCCTGTCTCTTAGAACACAGCTGCACTAATCGTACCTGATACCAACAAATGAAATTACTGGATCAAAAGCTAACTGTGTTTCCAGGGCTTTAAAGTAGACTGCAAAACCTCTCCGGAGAACAGCACCAACTCAAGCTCAGAGCTGCGCTACCTGAACAGGCAGCCATTCCTACTTAAGTCAGCTATGATAGTGATAAGCCAAACGTCTGCTGATTTGAAAGCTGAAAACAGTTTCGGTTTTTTGGTATCAAGACTAAATCTAGTGCCCTGTGTATGCCGGACAAACACTCCACTGCTGGGCTCACCCTTACTCCCTCAAAATGATTTTATTTTCATTTATTCAACAAGTATTTATGAGTGTCTTCTATGTACAATGTATGGTACTGGGAGGCGGAGATAATGAGGGCTATGTGTTAATAAAAAAGAAAAATACATTGGGCGATGGTGGTACACACCTTTAATCCCAGCACTTGAAAGGCAGAAGCAGGTGGATCTCTGAGGCCAGTCTGGAGTCTGGTCTACAAAACCAGTTCCAGAATAGAATAAAGAGAAACTCTTGTCTCAAAAAAAAAAAAAAAAAAAAAAAAAAAAAATACAAACTGTATAGATCCCGGTATATAGCAGACTAAGGCAGAAAGGTCATGAGTCAAAAAGGAAAACAAAGTCTGGAGGATCCTCAAAACCAGAGCTTGAATCTCCAAAGACCCAACTAAGTTGTAAATTCCAGCCTTGAAAAATAGAGTCAGCGCAAGCTCCCTAGTGACACCGGTCATGTTGGTGGGTACTGTGCTTGAGGGATAGATTCTAACTCATGAATGGGGTGGCAAAGCAATCAAACATAACTCCCAACATCAACCTAGGCCTCTGCATGCACGTGTACTTTTGTATATTCAAACCCACACATCTAAGCACCCCACATAGGAAAAGCATGCAGTCACAGGTACTCCAAATGCACAAACCAAACACAAGTCACCAAAGAAAAAGCTAAGGCAAGGCCTGGTGAGATGCCACCACCATCAGGTTCGACGGCACATGTTGTTAATCCTAGCACTCAAGAGTCAGAAGCAGTCTGATCTCTGTGAGTTCGAGGTCAGCTGTGTCTAGAGAATGAGTTCCAGGCCAGTCTGGGGGAGAAAACAACAAACAAACAAAAAACCAAATGCAAAACAAATGTACAAACAAAAAGTAAATACAGAACAAAAAGGTGGCGGTGAGGTGATCTGGAGATGCGTCACTCCTAATAGCAATTGTGTGCGAGTATGGGGTCCTGAGTCTGGATCCCAGAAATCAGGTAAAAAGCCAGGCATGAACATGTGTGCACCTGTAACCTCAGTGTTCTGGGGGATGCGGACAGGGAACAGGAGGATCACTGGGGTTTGCTGTCCACCCACTTAGTTCTAGGCTCAGGAAGAAACAGAAACCCTGTCTTAAAGGAATGACGGCAGGACACCAGGCATTCTCCTCTGAACTCCATGTGTGCTCACACAAGTACAAGAAATACTTGATATTCAATTTTATTATTAAAGATATTATTTATCTATAATATATAGAAAATTTTCTTTGGTTGATCATTGGACTGGGAGTGGAGACAGAGGAAGAGAATTTGATGTGTGTGTGTGTGTGTGTATGTGTGTGTGTGTGCGCCCTATCCCCCTCCATGCCCTATCTCCCCCAAAAAACCCCAAACCTTGACCCTTCAGTCAGGAACAACAAAAAGTGTGGGAGCTCATGTCTGTAGCCCAAGCACTTGTGAGGTTGAAGCTAGAAGACTGGTAAGTTCAAGGCTAGCCTGGTTTCAGAGTGAGACCTAATTGCTTTTTTTCTTTAGGTTTTTCGAGACAGGGTGTCTCTGTAGCTTTGGATCCTGTCCTGGAACTAGCTCTTGTAGACCAGGCTGGCCTCAAACTCACAGCGATCCGCCTGCCTCTGCCTCCCGAGTGCTGGGATTAATGGTGTGTGCCACGACGCAGCTTGAGACCCTCTCAAATTTTCACTGCCTCTCCTAAAACAAGGGTTCTCAGCTGGTGGTGTGACTTAGTACCACTGGGTCACAGGCTTAGCAAGAGAGGATCCTGAGTTTCATTTCCAGAATTCAAAGAGAAAGAAAATTTTCATAAAATACAGAAATATAACACACACATACACACACGAAGGGGATTTCATTTCTTGTTTATTTCTCCTTTCTTGTGTCTAAAAGAGCAGCGGTCTCTGCTGGTGACACAGAATCAGGAAACGTGTCCAAAGATAAATGATGACCCACAAGTCCTTAGGGTCTCAAGACCACAGCAGGGAAGGGTCTGAATAACCTACAGATAACCCCTCAGGATGCAAGTCAAGGACTTCTAAGCCTCTGGCTCTTACAGGATCATGGGTGGTGCACAAGAATGGGGCCCAGGGTAAGTGGGTGACTTTCACACTTTTCCAGGGCAATGGGAACCTGTCAAGAAGGAAAAGCAGAGGAACCGAGGCTGTGGCTCAGTGGCAGAGCACTCATCTCATCAGCAAGAGGTTCTGAGTGTCATCCCCAGATCACAAAATTCCCCCAGGGTTTCTGAGACCAGAGAGAGTGTCTGAAACAACCAAGTCACACACATTATAATAACAAGGTGCCAACGATCCTGCTCCTCAGAGGAAGGCTGAAAGGACCAAAGGAATGGGCATCTTTTACCCAAAGATACACAGTTGGCAAGAGGAAAGCTGTGGCCTGAACTTTGAACTTGGGTCTGCTTGTCTTCAAACTGTGTTCTGTTCCCACTAGAAGGGCCCTCTTGCTGCTGTGGCCAGAAAATCAGCTTTTCCGAGGGTGAAGAAAGTGGGCTGGCTCCTTGTGCCTGTCAATCTAGCCTGACAAGAGTGAGCAGGCTGGTTTCTGGCTGACTCACACCTGTGTTTCTCTTCATACCCCAGAAGGTCCTCTTAGTCAAGCCTGGGTGTTGGAGGTAAAGCCTCAGGAGCTGCTAACAGTGTGTGATTCGGGTTTGCCTTTTTCATTTGCCCATTCAGCAGTCTCTACAATTGGATCATCAGAGCAGGTACCTCCTGGGATTACAGTAAAGGGTAAACCAAAGAACAGACTTAGTACCCTGCACAGTCAACAATATTAGCTGCTATCATCCATGCCCATGCCTTGCCCTTGTGGGAATTTGGAAGGTGTTGGGAAAACACATTTTTGTTTATTTGGCATTTTTATTATGTTTTAGAAAGGGTCTCACTATGTAGCCCTGGTTAGTTTGGTACTCACTATGTAGAGCAGGCTGGCCTTGAACTTTTGGGTAATCCCCCTACTTCTGTTTCCTAAGTGCTAAGATTACAGACATGTGCCATCATGCCATGCAGGAAAAAAAAACATTTAAAAGGTTTAAATTAATTTATCTATTTGTGTATGAGGAAGTCACACAGGTCAGAGGACAAGCTGGAGTATTGGTTCTGTGTCTCCACCACGCTGGCTTCAGGGGTTCAACCCAGGTCGTCAGGCTCAGAGCAACACATTTTTATGCTTAGCCATCTTACTAGTTCTGAAAACACATTTTTGAAACAAGATTACAAAATAGCACATATAGATAAGATAATAAGAAAAAATGTTGGGAAAAACCCAATATCCTTCTTTTCCTAGTTATTTGGGAGGCAGAGGCATGAGACTGTGTGTTTGAGGCCTGAGCAACCCAGCAAGCTCCTTTTGGTTTGTTTTAAAGTGGAAAGGGTGTTGTGAACTGCCATCCACTGGACGTGCCAGCGTCATGACACTCAAGAGCGCACAGCAGCTGCCATCATCTGCACAGTGAGATCCAGCCACTCCACAGTCCAGCATGGATGTGAGGACTTGGAGGGCTCCCAAACTAGCTGAGGAGCGATTGACCGTTAATGGCTACTGGGGGAAACCGAGTCATTTTTGTTGGAGGATGTGGCCACTGGCAGAATATCCATGCTCAAGTGGATACCCTACACCAACGGGCACAAACAGCACCAACTGGACTCAGTGAGTTATTAGAAAAATAAAAAGGTATGAGATGGGGGGGAGAAGTACTGGGGTAGGTATAAAAGAGAGTATTTTGATTAGATGTGATCAAGGTTCACTATATCTTTTTATAGGAATAAAAAGTTTTCTAAAAACTAATAAGTAAAAAATAAAAGAGAACTCTGAGTTCGAGACTAGCCTGGTTTACAGAGAAAGTCTGTCTCAAAAAACCAAAGAGAGAGAGAGAGAGAGACCAGCAACCAAAGAAAACTATTATATATGTGTAGAAGAAGACCCAAAGGAAATGTTGGTAGTTCTTATCTCTCTCTCTTTTTGTCTTTAAGACAGGGTTTCTCTATACTGTAACTTGCTTTGTAGACCAGGCTGGCCTCGAATTCACAAAGACCCGCCTGCCTCTGCCTCCCAAGTGCTGGGGTTAAAAGTGTGTGTCTCCACTGCCTGGTTTGTAGCTCTTAACTCTTGGTAATATCATGGGTTCTTATTGACTTTTTCCTGTTGCTCTCATACATTTTCTGAAATTCCTATGTTTTCTACAGCCAGGAAAAACTGCTGACAAGAACAGATCTGTAAAGACTGAATGGGGCTTTCCTTGTCTGGGCTTCTGCAGAGGGTAGTCCAGGAAAAGGGGGTCCGAGCAAAGAGAGAATTGGGACTGGGGAGAGAAGCCAAGAGAAGACTTTTCTGTGTCTTACTTCTTGTCTATCTGATTCTCTGGGCTTTGGAATTCTTGGTGGCAAGATCTGAAGTCTAGTTTGCTTACTACTGTATTCTCTAGGATCTAAAAAACCCACAAAACAAAACAAAGTCTGGCACTTAGTAGGTGCTCAGTCAATACTAACCTAATAAATGTGTGAATGACCGCAACAGCTCTGCTTAGCCTGAGAGACAATGATGCTCTTCAGTCTGCTATCCAGCTGGTGCAGAGCCAAAACTGAGGTACACAGTTTCCATGGCAACTGAAGAAGGTCCAACAGGCCAGCAGCAGGAGGCAGACTCAGGGATCGAGCTCTGCTTCTCTTTGAGGTGTAGCCTAGAAACTAGGAACAAGGCAATAGGCTCTGTCAACAGATGTGGAGGGGGAAAGATCTTCATAAACAGTTATCCCATTTGTCACCGGGCAGGCTGGTTCAGCCAATGAGTACTCAGGTAGGTGAGCTATAAAAGATGGGAGGCTCTAGTCTGGACCCAGATGTGTCACCATGAACAAGCATTTTAACCTCTCTGAGTCTCCTTCATAAAAGGGGAGGTTTGATGAAACGGTGTGTAGTGGAAGTGTGAACGTGCAGCTGTTGTGGAAAGATCTGTTGGCTCCACACAAAGTTAAATACAGAAACTGGGCATGGCAGTGTATGCTCTAACTGTAGCATCAGGAAGCCAAGGCAGGGGATTGCCAGCTCTAGGCCAGTCTGAGCTGTGTGTTGAGATTCTATAAAAACATTTGGAAGTTTAAAGTTACAGAATAGAGATAGGCAAGATAGAGAACTGGGTTATGGAAAAACTGGATCCTGCAGAAGCACCTCCATGGTGAAGGGAGGAAAAGGCTCTGGGCTGGGGTCAACTTTGGAATCTTCCCTTGCCTCCAGCTACTTATCCAAGGGATTCCTGAGTCACTAGCTTTCTCCAGAATCTGCATTTGCAAAATGGGGCTGTATCCTTTGTTTTCCTTAGAGAACTATGGGTGAGGAGCCCCATGAACTCTTTTGCAAGGTGAGCACTCTGGAATGCAGCTACATATGGTACCCAGTTTTCTTTTCTTTTGGACAAGGTTTCCTCTGTGTAGCCATGGCTGTCCTTGGCTCTCCTGGAACTCACTCTGTAGATCCTGCCTCTGCCTCCCAAATGCTTGGATAAAGGGGTGGGCTGTCACTGCAGCTCGGAAGCATCAGTTTTCTAAACATAGCCTACTGATATCCAGCGCCTAATCATAGGATCCACTAAGGGGGTTCAGACCCCTGGCCAGGAGGACCCATAGCTGAATTGACTCCTGACTCTACCAACAGTGTGGGTGCGGGCAAATCACCCACTTTTCCACTTTGTCTGGTGTAAATGTAAACATGCACATCTAACCTGGGGAGAAGTGCATAAGGTGAACGTTGAGAAATAAGACCCTTCTCTTTCTGCTCCCCAGTCCTGCCTAAGAAAGAACAGGGCCCTAGAAAACACTAGATGTATGTATGCTCTTTCTTGGTACCCTCAACAGCAAGCACTTCTGGCTCCCAGAATCTGCCTCAAAAATGCTGGGACCGACAGATTAAGGCAATAACAGGATTTGAGCCCAAGGGAACAGATCTTTCTTTCGGGTCAGGGAGTTTTCCTCAAACGTCATCCATCATTTGCTCCAGAAAATCTGGACTGCACTGTCTGAATAGGGTGAATTCTTCATTAGGAGAAATGCTGCTTTGTCCAGTATACAGGTTAAGAAACTGGCTCACAGACGCCAAGTAATTGGAACCAAGACACAACCAGAGAGCTCAGGTCTAGGATTTGAACTAGGGTCCTCTTACAGTGCCACGCCAAGAAGCTTCAGAGAGCGCGTGGCTAGGCTCAAACTAGGCGCGCAGTGGTGGGAACCTCGAGCCAAGCCGAGTTTAAAGCCTGGCCCGTTCATTTGCATGTTAATACCCAGAATGCTTTTCCACACACACCGCTTCATTTAATGGAAGCGCTCAGTTTGGAACCGTGTAAAGTTTGGAATGCGTATTTCGCTCCTCTTGCAACTGTGGGAACTTCGCGCCGGTACACGTGCCTTGCCTAAAGTCTCAGGCTCTGAGCCCAGTGGCTCAGCGGCGGCCCCAGCAAGGCAACCTCCGTGTCCAACCCTCATCTGGTAGCATCCTCAGGCGGGTTAGGGACAAAGCGCTCAGGCCTGGCCGCAGGGTCCGCGGTCAGAGTGCCCGGCATTTTGTTGGGCGGCGGGTGGCAGGCATGCTTCTGGCTTGGGGAAGATCGAGGGCACTTCTCGATCCCTGGGTTCCCTACTTTCCCTCAAAACTGCTGGGACGTGCAGGAGCCGCTGGTTTTTTCCGTCTTGTCCATCGCCATCACTCGGTTGCTTCCTTGAGCAGGGGACTTACTGCTCCCTGGGGCACAAAGCCCAAGGAGCGGTGGGTGGGGAAAACGACCTATCTCCCTAGTTATCCAAACATACAGGCCATTTGCCTCGGTCAGTACGAGGCGGGCAGAAGGTTCCGCCTGCGTCGGGCCGGGACCCCGCGTCCTTCTTAGGGTTGCAGAGCGGGAGAAGGTCGCAGCCGACTTCTGGGGATTTCGGCCATCAAAGGAGAGCTAGGCAGGGTGCTGATGCCCGCCCGACCTGCGGGTGCGCAAGGCAGACTGGAGGGGGGGGG